ATCAAATCTGATTGAACAAATTTTTTCTAGCTCTGGGCAATGTGGTCCTCTCTGCAAGTCCTCCGATAGAGAACTATCCTTGCTCTTTGTGACTACACACCTACAGGCTGTAGATTCCTATAAAGTGAATCCGTGCACATCTCACTCTTGTGGGGTGATAAAATCACTTTATTTAGAATCACTTTTTTAGATAGGAATAGAAGATAGAAAAAAAATAAAATAAAAACAAACATATCCTTAATTCGACACATTGAGCCTGCATTCACACAGAACAATTCTATTTATAGGATCTAATAAAATAAAAATAAAATATATCACCCATGCTTATCTAAGCATTTTAGATATTGCCGAAACTCTAGGCCTAATAAGACTATTCACAATATATTGAGACACTTTTGCTATCCTATATTCTCAAATGTTATAGTATAACTAGTATGATCTTGGCACATTTCTACATAAGTTGTTGTATTCTTTTCCAAATGGAAAACAGGGAAAAAAAAAAACACAACTCACGAAGAAAATTGCACCTGAATAGGAAACTTGATTGTGAAACTCAAGAAGAAAATCACCTGTGACATACTAGATAACAATCAGAGAAAAAACATTCCGTTCTGTAAATATCACCTACAATCTTTCAAAAGTACACCACCGCTTTAGAATGTACAGCACATAGCAGATATTTACATAACAAAACGTAGAAGGAAATCCATAACCCTTGTTCGAGTTTTTTTTTTCAGAAAGTTACTTTGTTCCAGTTAATGAACCGAAACATAAGAAGTGGTCCCAGATCAATTTTAAGTTGTCTGTAAGCATGTCAGAGACTAGGTTGATTTCATCCTTGTGTTCCTGCAATTTGGTACAGGCAAGGTCAGAAAAATATTAATGTACTTAAAAACTAGCAACCACAAAACCATAAAACACAAATCAGTAGAAATACGGTTTATAATAGGGAACAAATTACAGGTTTTCAGTAAAGGACCAAAGACTCGTGACTATCTGTGAAATACCATGTAGTTTGGCTATGAGAGTGGATGTCAGAGCCAATCACCAGAAAGGGTTCAAGAGAGTGTGGAAGCACCTTTTATTAAAAAAAATTGAAGTAGAGGACTCTAGCTTTATGCATAATTCTGTGTTTATTCACTTGGTGAACGAATCAAATGCACTTAGGTATCAATTAACCATTGTCGTAGTTGAAAGCCAACACCTTATCACCTATTTATATGTTATTGATATTGAAGTCAATTACAATATTATGAAAGTAAAACATAATAAGAAAATCACATAATAGGAAAGTGACATAATAGCTATGCAACATAATAGAAAGTAAAACAATAGGAAACTAACACTCCAACATCCCCTAAGTTGGAGCATAAAGATAAAAATTGTCCAGTTTGGAATAAAGATTCCTAAAGATGGACTGTGCCAATGATTTTGTGAGAAAATCACCGAGGTGACCCACAAGTGGACCGCACCAATGATTTGGTGAGAAAATCGCTGAGTTGATCGCAATCTCCACGTAGAGAATAAGGATGATAAAACCAAAGCTTTAGGTGACTACTTCAGACCATTCAGAGACTTCTTTAATTAATGCACACTATTACGATACTCCTCCAAAGCAACAAATCAATGTGATTGGTTAATTTAAAATCTAAGACATCCCATTGGTTCTCTAGAGAAACAATTAGTGACCATACCAAAACAAGTAATAACAAACAACAATCACGACAACACAAAGGACAAAAACAAGGTGACGATAAAGGACAAACACAACACCACCAAAACCACTGACAACTACAAATTAAACTGAAACAGGCAAATCGGGAAAAATAATTGGGATGGAATCAACCAAAAAGATGTTGAATACAAGTTTAAACCACAAAACCAATGAAAACTTCAATCAAAACTGAACTAGGATAAAAACTACTAAACTAGCACCAAATTGTGTCGAAAACCGACACTAAACTGGGTTGAAAACATTGAACCAGAATTAAATTGGAATAAAAATCATTAAACCAACACCAAACTGTGCCGAAAACACTAAACTAGAATTAAATAAGGTTGAAAACACTGAGAAGGAATTAAATCAGGATGAAAACCACTAAACCAATACTAAAGTGTGTCGAAAATACTGAACCAAAATTAAACCAAGTTGAAAACATTGAACCGAAATTAAACCAGGATAAAAACCACTAAACCAGTATCAAACTAATCTGAAAACCTCCAAACCGACACTAATTGGGCTAAAACACTTAACTCAATGAAAACCACAAAATAAACATCAAACAAGCTAAAAACCATTGAACTGACACTAAACCGGGTTAAAAACATTGAACTGAAGTTGATTCTCGGATGAAAACCACTACACAAGTGTCAAAGTGAGCTGAAATCCACTAAACCGGACTGAAAACACCAAACTAAAACTAATCCATGATGAAAACCCTCACACCAACACCAAACTGAGTTGAACAACACTAAACCAAACTAAAACACCAAAATCCGCCTAATTATTAGACATGAAAGACACGAACACAGATTCAGATACTCCATAATAACTAGTAATGATAACCATGTTGGGCAAAACTTTAGATATTTTGCCGAACATGACTTTATTCATATAACGAGAAATTATATGAGTTTTATTAATATAAGTTGGATCCATTCCAGATAAACTATATCTGTTAATTATAATCACTTGTTTCAAGGGAACAATCTTTGACTCCAACGAGAAATTACCACACGTTAACATTTACCCCACGAGAGAATGGAAAGAAAAAATATTTTTTGTGTAGTAACGGCTGAACCTAGGTTAATTACCTAGGTTTCATACATATCCGTCGACGGGATCAAGCTAATTCTTAGTTCGGAGAGATTAAACTATTTTTGGGGTAAGATCAATGGGTAGATGACCCATTGCTCTTGAACGGATAAAATGTCCATCATGTTTGAAATGGATAAATGACCATTTGAATTTGATATGGGTTTAGGACCCACTTGATTGTGGGGGAGTTCTGGATGCGCCTAATTTAATTAGACTGCTTACGTATCCGAAAAGGATCAAGTCAGTTGAAGTTCCTGGAAAAAGAATTTAGAATTTGGTGCACCACCCAGTCTCCCCTTACTTGTAGGAAAATTGTCCCTTAGAGGGACTCTAGAATTCCACTCTCGGTTCTCTTTTTTTTGTGTACAACATACAATTTTTAAAATCCATAAGAATGTATTTTATTTAGAATGGGTCAAACTAAAATGCGAAATTGGACAATTAAGCTTGAAGGGTCAAGTCAAGGATAAATAACTTACGAAAATATTATGTGCTGAGCATGTATCTATCACAAACCTCTGCTTAAAATTCGCACCTAAATATGATGAGCAATGAATTTTTTTATCGTTTAACAATCACAATAGTCGATGAACAAACGCAAATAACTACAAGTTGATGTGTGCAGGGGCGGCCCAACCACTAGGCAAGTGAGGCGCTCGCCTAAGGTCGGGCCCCACTCACCCAGGTATCTTGCTCTGATAGACAGTTGAAACTTGAGCAACTGTATGTTAGGGTTAAGGAAAAGAAAGAGAAGAAGAAGAAATGAAGAGAGTATGAAACAATGGGGTGTTGTCAACACGTTATCATCTATTTATATTATATTGATATTGAAGACAATTACAATATTAGGATAGTATAGCATAATGAGAAACTAGAACAATAGGAAAACGACATAACCGAAAAGCAACATAATAGGGAAGTAACAGTCATAAATCTGATTTTGTTGGTGCTAGAAGCATACATACCCCCTTAGGTTGAGCGTTAGACTGTGCAAAGGACAAATCCCCTTTTCAAGGGTCTTACACTAACTGTTTGAAAAGTCAAATTCATAGATTATACTAGGCCAAAGGCTGCAAATCTTCTAGTAGTCTAGCAATGCGTAGCCTCCCAATGTTATGAGATAAGCCACAAATGAAGAATTGGTTTGAGTTATTTCAAAAATGGTTGACAGAATCAGGAACCAAATTGAGTGCTGCAAAACAAAGAGTGTTCAATCAAAACTGAATATAATAGTCATGGGTTGTCTTGAAAGGTTTGTACATCATTAACTGAGGGTGGTTGGCCAAAACCCATGACTAGAGGGGTTTATTGCCGAAGAATTTAGGAAGTGTTTGGATTGTGTTTGTAAAACAGTTGGTTAGGTTTTTTGTTCTCCAATTTTTAGAAGAAAGTAAGAACTAAATGATGTTCTCTCTGTTGTCAAGCCAAAATGAAAACACGGGAAACGCAACCCTACTCTTTAATCAAGTCTGGACTTTGAGTTTTGTTGGAGACATTTTCAGCCATCTCTCTCGCAACTCAGTTCAAGAGCGTCGGAAGCCTCTCTCTCTCTCAAGATCTAAACACAGATCTGTGTATATACACAGATTCGTGTGCAATGTGTGTGGGTTTGCTGGGAGATGTAAGTGTGCTGTGAGTGTGTGGGTTGTGTGTGTTTGATGTGTGAATATGTGGGTGCGTTTGACGTGTGCAATATGTGTGTGTTTGCTGTGTGCGATATGTCTGTGTTTGCTGTGTGAGTGAGTGAGTTTTAGTGTGTGTGTGTGTGTGTGTGTGTGTGAAGATTGAGAGAAGAGAGAGAGAGAGGGAAGGGAAAGACAAATGAGACTGGAGATGAAAATTGGAGTGCGGTGGGGTGGTTTTGTAGATCATTGTTCAAACAAGTTTTACTGTTTTCTGTTTTTTAAAACTATTTACAAAAACATATAACCAAACAGGTTTTACAATATAAAGATTTCAAAACACACTTTCTTAAAACTCATCCCAAAAATTATTTTCAGATACTGTTTTTTGATATGCAATCCAAATATGCCCTTAATTCTAGGGATATGCATGAGGGTACCAAGTCAGATAATTTTAATAAGAAGAAAACTATCAAGAATTCACCCCGAAGAACGCAATGAATAAGATAGACTAGACTCATCTAACCATGCATTTACCAGATAATATGGAATCAATCTTATCATCTACACAAGCAGATTACAGAATCAACTACCACAAAAAAACTCACCAGCAAGTTTGATACTATTGAAGTCATTTTCAGAGTGACCTCGCATGTAACTTCCCCAGATGAAGACAGGAAGTCAAATCTATCTGCATCTCGGATCTTAAGCCTAATTGATGAACCTCTATATATTTTAGCATTTATATGCCAAACCCCAACAACAGTGTATCGGTCTCCAGAAGACTCCTTCCCGAGGCGCCATCTTAACCCACCCTTCACTTCCGGGTCTAAAGTGGCGGAACTAACTAGACTTCTGATGCTATCTACCTCATCGTCCTGGAACAGAACAGAATTTAATCAGATCACAGGTTTCATCCCATTACATGTATCAGCAAAGAAATTCTCTTAACTTTTGTTTTCTTCACCCACTGGGAAGATGTAGCATAATATGTGTGGGTGCCTTCACTCACGTGAGCAGGTAAGATACTCATCATAGGAGAAAAAAAACCAATTATATCATATTACCCAAATTTCATTTAGGAAACATCATCTTCTATATGCATCTCTTGAAAATTAACAAATTCTTGACTAATGATTAGATATCTAAGCAAACCGATAATCTTTATAATGTAGAAATGCAGAAAAGAACATGAAGGAAATCCACCCATATGAATTATCAAATATTTGTTTCATGAAGTAGAGCAGTACTACAAGCTGCACACACACACACAGTAGCTACATAAATAAACACCGAAGCCAGAGAAAGCATAAATGACTTATAATATCTGCTTGAAATTGTAGAAATGAGATATATCTTGATTTTAAAAATGTTATTTCACAGAGAATCAAAGGAATATGAAGAAAACATGAGATATCGAAATCCAAGGAAAAAATAACAAGAAATAAAGGGGAGTCAAAGCTGATACTTTACTAGCAGCTTCTGGCTGGAATAACCACCATGGTCTCGCCTTTTGATTCAGTTCCAAAGTTGATGAGCAATAATAGGTGACTTAACCAAACAAAGATATTCAAATTCAATTAAAAAATGTCCTGTTCACAAATTTGTAACAGAGTGAATAACATCAAAGATATTAGCTGGATATCCAAATAGAACTTCGTTAAGCCATACAGCATACAGAAATTAACCAATATAAGTATCAAGTTGGTTATAGTGAAAAATGAGATTTCATAAACAAAAGTGTCTCCACTAGTGAGGACCTATATACACTTTGTTCAAGAAAGGGTTCTTTCATTGACATGAAAGAATAAGGCCAGACCAATGAGTCTTTGGTCCAATGGTACTCCTTATCTTGTGAAGACTTTGCCTTCTTGAGGTCAAGGGTTCAAGCCCCCTTCCCCTCCCCCCTCCCAAAAAAAAAAAAAAAAAAAAAAAGGACAGAGTTGCATTGGAAAGACGAGAGAAGAATCCTCTTTCTAATGTTTTCAAAAAAAAAAATCTAGATTTGCTACTTGCAAATTCAATTAACTATTTTAATGCAAAGCATAATAGCGATGGAGTTTCCCAGTGGCTTTTGCAGAACTTAAAACTCACACAAGCCCCAATAGAGTCTGCACTATAATGCAACATTATAATGCTCCAGATGAAAGAATCCAAGTAATTCAAACAAAGCAGAGCAAAATTACTTACTGTTAAAGTAGTTATGATTCTTTTGGTGCATAGCATCAGCCTCAGGTCTAGGGACTTATCAAGACAGGACATATCTGCAACTAGGTGGCGCACTTGGTTCAATTCAATCTACAAGAAAGTTGTTTAGGCATCAATGCAAGCTTCCATGAGTAAAGCCAAGGCAGAATATAAAGCATGCAAGAATATTGTCTCAAAAATTAGGTGTAGTTGTTTACCCAAGTATCAATAAGTAACAAATTTAATTATACTAATGAAAAAAAAAATTCAACTATATTAATATTCCTACTGCAAAACAGGAATAAAAGCAACATATTTATAAGGCTGATATAAATAAGTAGAACCAGGAAACTTGCCTTGTACAATTCAAGTTTTTTCTGATTTTCGGCCACGCGACATTTGCACGAGATAGTTGATCCAGGTTGCAGGTTATCAGACAGCTATACAATATAATAGCACATTTATTAAAAAAAAAAAAAAAAACTTGCTTTTACGAATAAGTATGCTAAAACAATGAAGAAAATACCTTTACATGGTATAACTCCTTTCCCTTTTCAAATTCAAGCCCAACCTTTGGCACAGCTTCCTTTATGGCATACTCCATATATGAAGGAGAAACATTTGTGTAAAATGTTCTTTTCAGTTGTCTCAAAGTGCTTTCAGCAACATAATTTGTTCTGACAGATTCTAGACTAACTGAAGGGCTCCTGCATCACACAGATCCATAACATATACTTTGTGTCTCCTCCCAGGTACATGTGGGATAACATGCTTCTTTCCCTTACAAAGACTAGTTTGACTTTTGAAGCGTGTTGGAAGGAAAAGATAGAGCATCAACATATGTTCTCATTAGGATTCTTAGACTAACATATAACCATGCAATTATTGGAGGGGTTGAATTGTCAATCAGACAAGAACCAATCAGGCTGTCCACTCACAGAACTCGTAAATCATAGATTTCCAGAAACGGTGTAAAGCCAATATCAACCCATATGTAGAAGAAAGATTTGGTTGAAACTAAACTTGTAAACAAACTTTTTTGATAGGAAACAAACTTTTCATTTTTTCTTTATTATTATTATTATTATTATTTTTTGATAGGAAATAAACATTTTCATTAATAAATAAAATATGGGATACAAAAACAGTTGGATAAGGAATCCAACTACGAAAATGAAATACACAATGAAACAATAAACCTATAAATCAAAGGAAACTCTCCATCCCGCTAAAATAGCAAAAAGCAGAATTCCTTTGTATTCCTTTTGTCACCGACGCCCAAAATGCTAAAAAATGAATACGCTCCCATAAGCCCTCCATTCTCTCACTCCAATCTTCCAAAATTCTTGCATTTTGTTCCTTCCATATAACTCAAAACATGGCCATGATAGCACATTTCCAAATAGTAACACCTTATCAACTCTTCAAAAACCTTTAACATCTTCAAAAAATAATGAATATGATGCTAGTGGAATCACCCAACTCAACCTTACCACTCGAAATAACAGATGCTATAATATCAAAGCAACCAGACAATGTAAAAGTAAATGATCAATACTCTCCACATCACCTTTACACATCAAACACCACTGGGGTGAAAGATAAGTGTGAGGCCTCCTCTTCTAGAGCATATCATTAGAGTGTTAATTTTACCATCTATTACTGTCCATGCAAAGACTTGTACTTTAATGGCACTTTAGAAGTCCAAATCATCAAAAGCATAGGCAAACAAAGGATACGGATTTTCATCCAACCAATGACTCAAAAAAATTTTACATGAGAAAACTCCCGAAGACTTATTTAACCATTGTCCTGTGTCACTAGAATCTTGATTAACAGTGATGTTATTAAGAATATCAAGAATAGACATCAAATCTATAGTGTCTCTATCATCAAGATTCCTACGAAAAAGCAAAGTCCCAAGAGTACGGATAATGGTATGACCTAATCATAGAGGCAATGGAAAACCCATGAGAAGAAGATAAATAATAGAGCCGAGGATACAAACATGAAAGTGCGGACTCTCCCGTCCAATTATCCTCCAAAAGCAAGCTCTTCCCCATTCCCCACCGTAACTCTTACATTTTTTGAAAACTTCATAAATCCCAGAAAATGAATTTTCCATAGGCATCGAAAACTACTCCTGTCAACCCTATTAGCATCCATTCATTGGCCCGTAACCAATATTTGCTCTTGATAATTAAATGCCATGGAGAATTTACTTCCAAGGAAAACAAGCCACTTGCCCACCAAAGCAGAGTATTTATCACCTTCACATTACCAATTGACCAACCACCACCATTCCTAGAACTAGAAACCCCCTCCCCCCCAAAAAAAAAAAAAAAAAAACTAATCAAGTGATCTTTCCTCCCTCCCCACTACCCTCCTACAAAAATCTCTTCATCATTTTTTCAAGTGTCATAGCTACTTTCCCTAGTATTTTAAATAAAGATAAAAAGTATGTGGGAATACTAAATAGAGCTCACGAAACAAGAGTTAACCTTCCCCGGTTGATATGTAAGCCTTCTTCCACCCATCAAGTCTTTTTCCCACTTTCTCATC